TTTAGATGTGACCTTGTTATGAAGCAATACTTGTTTGAAGATGACGATGTCAAGTCCTATGAAATACAATGGGGTATAATGGTAAATTACGAGTGAACGATGATAATTGATAATCGATTAACATTACAGGAGACTGACTTAACAATGAAAAGAGTCCTGTTACTCACGAATGAGCAAAACAGACAATCCAAGATGGCCGACCTAGCATTCACTGGTCAGCGGTAGCCGAGTCATGGCTGAGCCTAATGACGGCCAGCGGTAATCTATTCAACGTTAAGGGATCCAAGAGGCCCTCACTACATTACTGATACAAATGTAGCCCATGCTATAACGACTTTTAAAAACCCGTCCCAATTCGTATGTGTTTTACGAAATTTCGAATTTTAATGCAATCTATTTATTCTATTCTAATATTTGTTTAACTCCAATCCTTAGGTCTGTCGTAAYGAAGTATGGTCTTTGGGATCAACTAAGAACAGATCAAGGGCGCGAATTTTACCTATCGTTGGGGATGCAAGAATTGCTTGCTCCTCTTAGAAATGACCCAACTAAAGATCCACATCGACGAACGACTTCAAAAAAGGTRCGAATGCCATCGCTTATAATCTTCAAGAAAATATTATCTAATTTAATACTGTGGACGAATATGATAACTGAAATTAACTCTCAAAATTCTTCCCTGAAAGAATCTTCCAGTTGAAAGATTTTGGAGCGAGGTCAACCAACGAGCTAACTACCCAGTAAAGAGCTGTCTAAACAATATGGTGGAGGCTGGGCAATTGCGAATGGACGATGAGTGCACAAAGTTCTGCGTTTCTACATTTACAACCCACGTGGTTCAAGTTGGAATCAATCGTCTAATTCAGTCATGGAACTGCAGACCTGCAAGTAAGACAGTTGTTTTACGYGGAATTTTAATTTCCCGAAACAATTCTGATGCCATTAAGATTTTTTCATATCTTTTTTGTATAATGAAGGCGGGAAAAGRAAAACACCTATTGAAATGATGAAGGCAAATAATGGAACTGCAAATTTGACAGAAGAACAGGTCCCTGATGGGTTGACTGCAGCACAGATCTATGAAGGTAATGGAGGAAATCTCACAAGATTTGGCAGTTTTGGTCTGGATCCTTTACAAGGAAATCAGGAGCTGTCGACGCAGAGGGAGCAACTGCTTCTCCAAAATATTGCTTCATATGAAGCAATATTTAATCAACTAGTAAATGGAAATCCTTCTTTATTTCAACGAGCTTTAATTTATTATATTACTTTATCACAATCGCTTGCTGCACAAGCATAAGCGTAAACTAGAGAGTTGGATATAATTATCCTAGTCATTATCTTACTGAAAGTCTTAATAGTATTTGAGTTCTACCCACAGTGTGTTAC